CAGAAATAAATAATGGCTATTACTAGCAATTAAAATATTCTAATACCACTGAAATTGGTGATTTAATTAAATAAAAGGCAAATGAAAATGTGTAAGTATTTAGGTTAGAATTTATGTGAGAGAAAAGCAAAACTGGTGATGAAGGCTAATAATTGTTAAATTATTATTATAAGTGCACTAAAGTCATAACTTGATCAAGAAAAACCAAGTGACTGTAAACTATATAAGTGGGTAAATACATTTTAATTTTAATTCTATTTATTTACGAAAATAATTATATATGTTTTACTGTTTCCAATTTCTTTTTAAATGCAAAAGTTCATGTTTTAATGCTAAATGTACGAAAATAAATAAAATGTGATATATGCATGCATATGGAGTTACCCCAAGTTATTACGGGCTTGGGAAGGTATGAACTTCTGCACGAAATGGAAATGAAAATAGAAATAGAAGAGAATGCATATCTTTTTGGTGGGCTTGAAAAAGGTGAACACATATTTTTAGACGGTGAGTCTTAATAACAAAAATTGCAACATAAATAAATAAAAATAAATAGAAATTGCTTTCATTAATGTTTATTTTTTCTGCTCAGACTTTTGCTATTTATTTTAATTTTTACAAAATATTTTAAAATGAGAATTATTATAATTTAAAAATATTTTCCCACTAAATATCACATTGAGTTGCTAATATTTTATAGGAAAACCTGTTATAGGATAGATGGATCCTAAGGAGAACGTGTACAAACACCGAGGGGCTCAGATTGATTGGTATTACACTTTAGTTTTTATGTTTTGTGAGTTGTAAAAGTTTAAGCATAAATAAATTGTTGTAAATTAAAGTTTTATGAAATAAAATGACTCTTTTGCGGTTTGTATCATTTTATTTACGAAATGAAATTGTTAGATAGTTTTCTTTCCGATTGTCAGATCCCGCCTCGATAATCCAAGCTCCCGGGCCAGGTCTTGACATCAATAGATTATTTTGATATTTTACTCATTTAGGAGTATTTTGTGAAGTCCAGGAGAAGGACATCACAAAAAAAAGATGATGATGGGAAATTAATGAGCTTTAGCTTGCTTTGAATCCTTGATGCTTACTTCGCAAGTTGTGTATCTTCAATGAAAATTTTACAGCATAAAATGGCATTGGTATGATCATTGTCGTAAGTTTGGATACATAAAACAAAAAAATTGTGAGCTATATCGAAGTTTGCTGATTAAAAACTTAAAAAATAAGGTTGTGATTTTTTTGTAACTAACAATAATTCTAAAAAATAAACACCATCCCTATTTAATAAAGAAAAAAACCAAAATATGTTCATCCAACTCAAAAAAAAAAAGGATTAAACCTGTAAACAATACCTAATTTATTACTCAAATCGGCATAATTTTGAATGCATTTAATTCAAAAATTGAAATTCTCAATTCTGGATTGTGGAGTCGTGAGCTTATGATCACATGGCAAAGAATCTCCTTTTTTAACAAAGTACGTCATTGATTTAAGAATTACATTGCAAGAGTTGTGGAGAAACTTCCGTCCCAATTAACCAGCATTATGACATTCAAGATCCCTTGTTTCATTGTTTTAAATTTAGTCCTATTGGTTCCCAAAATTTTCTGCAATCTCTTTTTTATTGGTAAAATCACCCAAGAAATGAATTATATTATTAATTTTTTTTCCCGACTCATTGTGAATTTTAGATCGGGTTATGAGGAGGATGATTGACAATGTTGAGGGAAAAGTTGATTTCCTCTCGAATTTTGAAAAAATATTGAATTGTACTTAAAGATTTTTACCTAACCTAAAAGGAATGTGATCATGTTATACCACTTTTGCTTTGTTATCCAAACTTCAAGTACTTTAAAAATTTGTTCCTTTCATTCTTCATCAATAAAAATCCGTTTCTATGGCCTAGCCTAAGAGGCAATTTAGTATTTTGTTAACCCTAGGGCAATTGAATCTTTTATTATTTATTATTGTTTAGTATAAATAGATCCTAATAGGTTAGGTTTAAATATGCATGAGATTGGGTCTTCTATCTTAGGGTTAGGGTTTGGGAAATGGTTCCTTCCTCTCAAATTGTAGGATTTGGGAGAGCTTACCTACCTCTCCAATTGTAGGTGTTTATCTTTTATATGTTGTATTTTTTTTGTTATTGAGGAAAGTAATTGGTTCTGTCTTAACTTCTATGTGGAAATCAATCTCAGTTTCTATTAAATTGGTATCAGAGCATTCTATCTTAGAAGAAAAAAGGGAAACATGGAAGGGGTCGTAGATTGGGGCATCTGAATCGATCAAATCTAGAGCTAGGAAGTTGGCATGATCTAACTAGCTTCTCGTTAAGATAGAGCCGCGATCGCATACCTAGGGAAGAACATACATTGATCCAAGCGATCACAATACGGTTGAGATAGAGCTAATTGGGAAGCGATGATGAGATCATAACTTGTTGCTTGTTATGATAAAGTCACGATCAAGCTATCTGGGATCTCAGCGAAGCTTAATCGCAGCGTTGGGATTGCAGGGAAGCCAAATCAGAATTTTGCGCTGAATATCGCGATACAGGCAGGATAAGAACTAGCTGGGGAAGTTGGTGATAAGATCACAAGAAGGGATTGCAGGGTACAGAGTGAACAATCGCTTGATTTAACCTATATGAAAGCAAACGACAGGATCAAGGGCCAAAGTGGCCTAATATCATGATACAATCGTGATGCAAACTAGCTTGGTGGCCAATGGCGGGATTTCAACTTATACATTATTTTTATCTTTTGTGATTGAAAAGTTTTTGGGGAATAATCATGGCCAAGAAAGCACATGCTTTGGAGAAATTGGAGGAAGAGATATACTAAATCAGAGTTAGAATGGAGGAGCGTTTCTCGTTGATAGAATGGTGATTTTTGTCCATGGAGGGCAATTTTTGTCCATGGAGAGTAGATTTACAACCCCAAATGAAATGATGAAGAATATCGTCAAGCTGCACACAAACCCGTCTCAACTTGTAGGGAGATCGAGCGACGACGACATGCGTGGACTCGACCCACAACACTTGGATGGAATAACGTAACATCCAGATATTCGGAATGAGCGTCAACAAACAGAAAGTGACGGTATGCGATTCAGGGCCGGAGAAAATTAATTTGAAGAATTTCGATCTGGAGTAAGGAACCATGATAGGCAGGACACTGAGCAGTGGGTTGTGTCCAACTGGTCTTGCCTCTTTTGCTATTGTAGCCCTTTTGGTGAAAGGTGATTCAGGAGCCTATGAGGATAGTGGGTTAATTATGGGCAAGCCAGATTTATGGATGAAAGGAATTCAATATAGGATAGAATGGAAACCAACCCCCGCTTCATGTGCTGAATGAACTTCAATCTATAAAACTGAGGAGGAGACTCGTGCATAAGGAAGTTGATGATGTTGACCTTTGAGGGGGAAGATGCACATGAGTGGTTGTATCAGATAAAGCGATACAATGCAGTGAATGGGCTAAATGAGGAGGAGAAGCTCATGACAACATGATTATGTTTGGAGGGGAAGACTCTAACATGGTTTCAACAGAGGGAGGCTAGATGCCCGATCAGCTCATGGGTAGATTTTAAGGATTGATTGTTGAAACGTTTTTGAGCCATTTAGGAAGTGGACCTACACTAGCAATTCTTTGCATTGAATCAGTAAGGGACTGTCAAGAAGTATAGGCAGAGATTAGAGCTATTATCGTGACGGCTGGGGGAGATTTTTGAAGTAGTATTAGAGAAGAATTTAATGAAGGGTCTAAAGCTTACATGTGTGCAACACTTCGACTATTGAGATCGCTGGGATTGGGGGAAACGATGGAGCTAGCTCAGATGGTGGAGGACAAGAACCAGATGAAAGCCGACATAAGCAACACAATGGAATAATTACACAAGAGTACCTTGACGACCACGACATCGATGATTCATATAATGTCATTTCAGGGGGAGGGGCTGAAGTAGAAGAATATGGGGGCTCATCCGGCGGTCAGCTTCAAGCACCTTACAGAGTTAGAGATTCAAGAGAAACAATCAAAGATGTTATGTTTTCTGTGTGATGAAAACTTTTCTTTAGGACACCGTTGCTAGGACCGGACATTAAGGTTCTCATAATGTGTGACGAGGAGGCAAGGAAGCTTAATCTAATAACAGTTTCCTTTCATCCATCTTGATGACAATGTATTTTTTCTGGGAGGGGAGTGTTGTTACTTAATCCTATCCTATGGGGCATTTTAGCCTTTTATTGGCCTAAGGGTGATTGAGTCTTTTATGATTTCTTATTGTTTAGTATAAATAGACACTAATAGGTTTGGATTAGGTATGCATGAGATTGGATCTTGTATCTTAGGGTTAGGGTTTGGGAGAGATTTCCCATCTCTCGGATTGTAGGATTTGGGAGAGCTAGCCAACCTCTTGAATTGTAGGTTTTTGTCCTTTTGTGTGGAAATCTGTGCCGTTTTCTATCAAAATCCTGAATCATTCTCATGCAAAACTTGCCAACTATCTAAACACATATCCAAGCCATCCATATAAAGTGTTATAACCTTTTGTTGTAGTGATATATGGGTATCATCTTTGGTTACCAATCTCCGGGTGCAAGGTGATATATATTAGTTGGCGATGATCATTCTATAAATACTTGAATTTTCTTAATGAAGGATAAATATGAAATTTGCCTAATTTTTTTATGTATTTTCTCATGCATATAATTTTTTAATTTTTTGTGATTTTTATAACCTAGTTAGGAACATTGGCACGCTGGCAATGTTTAATTCTGGAAATCTTCTATTCCTGTTATGCTTCCATTTCTTCATGAATTGACAAGCGTTTACTTATAAGCTATTGTTCGAGTATGGCAATGATTATCTTGATGAAGCAGTTGAAATAGAAATCTATACATGTTTCCATATATTATTACTACATGAATGATTTCTTTTACTGACATATTTAAATTGTTATTCTGATAATATTTAATTTGTTTTTAGTTATATCGACCCTGAGGCTGTGGTTGGATGTGATGATGGTCGGGCCCATGTATTTGATATGTATAGTGGGAGGTGCACTCGAATAATTAGGTAAATGCGATGGTTCAGGTAAATCTGATATGTTCTTTTAATTGCATAAGCTGTGATTTCTCTTGTTTTGGCTTTGGTTATTTGGACGTTAAGAATGATGATAGGTTCATGGAAATTTGCTTGAAGTGGTAGAGATTTTGTAGATTTATTTTTATTTGATTTTTTTTTTTCAGGTGTTCTGTATTTTGCATTAAATTCTGTGCCGGAGAAACGTGAATTTTTTTATAGATCCTTGGTTGGTTTATATTTATAAAATTTTTTACCACACTTACACTTTCAACAGAATTTATGAATCCATTGCATACCTCTTGTAAACCATACTGTTCTTGATGCTAAAGAATGACTTTATTGCTTTGTTATCTGTACAAGATAATTAGCTATAATGCATTCACGGTAGCCTTCTGGTGTATTACACATCTCATGCGCATGCTACAAAAGGCTGGAGTTATTCTGTTTATTTTGGAAAATTTTGTTTCTTGCTTGACTCATTCCTCTATTTCTATTTACAATGAGATTAACTGTTTAGTTATTTATTTGTGTTTACTTGTTTGAACAATTGGTGCTATTACAGATTTTATATCATTTGCAACATTTTGTAATGCTGTCAATCAATTGATTTGCAGGATGCATGGTGCGCCAGTTTCATGCTTAGCTTTAACTGAAGATCAGTTAGTACTTGGTGGATCTAATTTTGGCACAGTAACTGTGGCAGATCTTTCAACCGGTGAACAGTTGGCATTATTGAAGTCATCTTTTTCTAACACAGGTTTTTTCTCTGTTTATTTCTTAACGTTTTCCAATCAAATTTTCAGCCAAATTACTTTTAAGAGAAATTCTTTGAAAGTTTTTTTAGCATGTATAGTCCTGAAAAATTCTTTTCTTGTTTTCGTTTAAGTCGATGATTAAACTTAGCAAGATATTGCTATACTGAGATTGTGCTTTAGTTGTCAAATTAGTAATTTTAGCTTCTTAAGGAATAGCGAGTGCCTTCAAGTTTGTTAACTTTTTGCTTGTAGAAAGCAGAAAGGGAAAAAAAGATTATACTAAGAATGTTCGAGGAACATTTTGTTTATTTCACCATATTGGAAATAAACTTACAATAATCAACTGGTGTAGAACAAAAAAATTAGCCCCATTAAAGTAACCTCACAAGCATCTACTTTGTTAACTTTTTTATAAGTTATTCAATTTTTACTCATCAATAGATTAAATGAGAAAACCGCAACTAAATACTTTTCTTTTGCATCCACTTTCAGTCTTTCTGACTATATAACATGCATGAAATTTACGTGAATATCATCAATCTAACAATAAGTCTGAATAATATACACCTACTAATAAGATGTCACAATCGTAACTTTAGTGTATTTCATGCGAGTGATTCTTCCTCTTACAGCCTCAGTCTCATCATGTTCATCATTCATGCAATATGTTTTGTATTTCTAAGATTCATAGTATTCACAATCCTTACCATACAAATCAAACTATATATAAATTAATCTATGTCATATTGTTTTGTATACCATTAGTACAGCCATGTATGAATCGTCAAAATTTAAGATCTATGCAGAAAGTTGTAGGCATTCAAAATCAATATTAGTAAACAAATTGTAGATGATTTTGTTACTGCAAATGCCCTTCTAACTAGGTTTTTAGATTTATTTAAAAATCATATTTTACCCCTTGTTATTTCCTAATCATGAAATTAAAAATTAATGGCTAGCTTAATGCAATCTTTTAGATGAAAGTGTCAATTAGGCGGTTTGAAGACCTTATTAGTCACCCTACTTCCTCATCATGTTCATTGGAGACCTTTTGCTCACAATCAATATTCTGCATACCCTGGCAACATTTGGCTTGGTTACCTCTGCTAATTCCAGTGAAGGCTCTCATGAGATCTAAATGCTTTATTTTTTGTGTTATAATAAACTGCAAAATAGTTTAATCACTGTGAATTATGATCAATGAAATAGTGAAAATCAATTCGAGGATAAATCATGGAATGATTATGGATATTTTGCAAAATACCCCCTACCTTGAACTTTCTATTGATCTTTATATAATGTTATTCTTTCAGTGATATCTATACTCATCCCATCTTTTTTCAAACTGCAGGCAACCGACATTGTTGATCTCATTTTAGTTTGTAGAAACCAGTCCTAAAACGAAGACTTCAACTTATTAGTTGAGATAATAATCTGAAGGAAAATCCATATTAGATGATTAAATGTCATAATTACTTTACTAAGTTAGTGTATAAAATTTTGATGCGCTTGTTTGCAAGTGCTATTTTCTTATGATTGGTTGAGGTTAGGTTACTTACTGGCTAGTTTTATATTCCCGTTCTATCATTGTTTTTCGCTTTTGTTTGTTTAAAGTTTAAACTAACAACCGTGTTTCGCAAATATTAAACTCAAGCTAGTACAAATAACCGTGGTGGAGCCAGATGGACTGCCTCTCTAATACTTGAATTAAGCTGACATACGCAGAGCTGCGTACGTCGGGGGTTATTCAGAGGGAATTGGGGGGTTATAGCCTTATAGGTAAGTTATAGAGGTGTTACAGAGAGTGTAACCTACCTATAACCCCCCAATATCTTCTAAATAACCTCAAACGTATGCAGTTCTGCGTGCGTCTTACGTACGCAAATTTTTCTCATATTTATGAGGCTTTCTTTCACTAACCCATAATATGTATATATACGTACACTTATACTCAAGCTTGCGTGAATAGCTGTGGTGGAGCCAGATAGACTCCCTCTCTGTTGCTCGAATCAAGTTGGAAATTTATGAGACTCTCTTTCACTAACCCAATATTTGTGTCAGCCATATGACCCTTTAATTATGTGGCTATAATCATGCTTGTGGATTGAGACATGATCTTTCCATGTTTAATTGTGATATGATATTTTTGTCCTTGTTCTTTTCCTTTTGACAGGTATGAAAAGTCTTTGTTTTAATTCTCATTCATATTTGCTATATGCGGGATCAACTGCTGGTTATGTTCATTGCTGGGATCTTAGGTCAGTGAATAATGCCTGAGTAACTTGTGTAATATGAATTGGGAGTAGAAAAGATTGCATTAATGAAAACTTTGTCATTTTTCTAATAAACATCCAAAATTTTCTTTTTGCAGGACTCAGCGTTCCCTATGGGAGACGAGGGTGAGCCCAAATGTCATCTACAGCATGCGTCATCTAGTAACAGATTCGTCGACATTAGCGGTTGGCGGGCTCGACGGAGTTCTCAGGATTCTCAACCAAAGCACAGGCGAAATTCTTTCGTGCTTCATAATGGACCCGTGCACCAAATTGGATGGTTCATCCGTATCCAGATCACCTTTGAAAATAAAGATGAAGGGCATAACCATCCCTGCAGATACGGAGATTCATCGCATTCCGAGAGACCGACGGCCTCCTATTACGTGCCTCGGTGTTGGGCTAAGGAAGATTGTTACAGCTCACAATGAGAAGTACTTGAGATTGTGGAGATTCCATCATTCTCTGGATGGCATTGTTAACAATTCCTAGCTGTGGCTTATTAGATTATGAACTCACGACATTACCCCCTCAAACTGGGCTGAGGGGAGTTTCTCAATGATTTTGCTCGTAATTTAAAGGAAGTTTTACATGCATACCGGTCCTTCTTATGTATTTACATCATCTAACACCTAAAATTCAGTTTTTACATAAATGCAACCATACCTTTGCATGCAAAATGCGTATTTCAATTTTAAAAAGTTAAACTAGTGGTATTTTTTATGTGATATGAAAGATTTGGGTGGTATAAATGTAAAAAACCAAGTTATGGTGTTAGATATGTAAATATTTAAGAATTGGGTGGTATGATGTAAATGCAGCTAATTTTAAATGCTCAGTCCTGGTGGGAATGTGCAATTTCATTAGCAAGGTATTAATGAATCCATACCAAAGGAAGGGGAAGGATCGTTCTAGCTTCTAAAAGTAAACATTGTCATTAGAGAAAGCTTAATTAACGACTTAAATTTAAAAAGGAAATGGGGATAATTAAACGAATTATTACATAATAGAAATAAATGCTCTGATCATGACATGTATTTATGATTTATGAAATGGGAATTATGTTTGACACCCATTTTATGAAGGAAGATTTACATTCGTACCACTCAATTCTCATGTTTTGCATATCCAAGACTGAATTTTAATTTTTGCATACATGCCACCTGCACGTGAAAACGTGTATTCAAAGTTTAAAAGCTAAAATGGTGTCATTTTATATGTTACGAAAGATTTGGATGGTATAAATGTAAATACCAAAATTGAGATGTTATATAAAAAAAGACAACAAATGGGTGGTATGTATGTAAATGCTCTTCATATAATATTTGGTCAATTTTTTATTATACCCAATATTGCTAAATTTTGCACCTAATGACTATAAATGATGCCTATTACTCACGCAATCTCCACTGCTTGCCGAATGCTGCAACATAAACATCATTTTTATATTTCTAATATTTTTTTATTTAATTTTAATAAAAAATACAATAAAATTTTGATTCATGTTTGATCCCCTCAAAAATATTACATGCAGAGAATATACATGTGGATTTGTTGTATTGTGGTAGTATTATAGCAGTATTATGATGAATACCATCATAATGCCACTATAATACTAGTAAATCTACACATGTTCACACTTATCATATCCGCATGTAATATTTCTTCCTAATACACAATTCTTAAGCCAACAAACATGCATAGAAACATAAACATATTTTTTCAATAATATAAAACAAACATCTCTCACTATTTTAGTCAAACACCATGATATATTCCAGCTCTTAAGACAAGTTTAAATGTCGGTGAAAATTAGGAGTGTAAGCAAAACGAGTTGAACTTGAGCCGCTATCGACTTGAGCTTGATTAATGTTTTGGAGCCCAAGCTCAAACTTAAGTCTACGAGTTTGAGCCAGTTCACGAGTCAATTTTTTTAATATAAAATAAAGAAATGATATTAATTTAAGCTAATTTTATAATAAATTGTTAAATAAAATGAACAATTAAGAGATAAGTAATACTTAATCATCTAATATATAATAAAAAATATTATTTTATAAACATTTTTAATACCTTAAAAGAAAATTTTAAAATTTAATATTTTTTGAAAATATTTATGTTAATATCTTTTTAAACAAGCCAGCTCACGAACAAGCAAGGCCAATTGGGGCTGGCTTGAGTTTTGGTTTGTTAGCTCATCGAGCTTAGTTCACGAGCCATTTATCGAGCCGAGCTTAAGCTGGTTCACGAGTTGGCTTCTCACTCGCACCCCTAGTGAAATGCAATAGGAGTAATAAAAACAATTATTCATGCTTTGAACCAACAAACACAATAATTTAAGCAGAAAACCAGAAACTGAACACACTAAACTCAATTTCATAAAAACAAATCAAACCACGCATCAAAAGCATTCTTCTACAGAAACTTTACCAGTATGTATACACATACATACATACAAAATACAATTCATATCTAATATAGTCCTCAAAAATTTCCAGACGCACCCCATTTAATCTACCAAATGCCGAATTTCTTGTGCTGCAAAATGGCTCCTTCGCAGCTTTTGCCAGAAGGTCCATTAAACACATAGCATTGTAGTTTCTGGTTAACCAGCCAGCCACATGGCATACAATAAACTTCTGTTCTTTGTTTCCTTTTGTCTGAGTTCAACTAAATGCAATTTGCATTATGAAACTACCTTTGCATCTGGAAGCTTCTTGTTTTCTTCTCACTGCTGACAGAAATAATGGTAGCAGATTCATGTCACCGCTGCATGAATTGCAGAGGCTACATTCTTCACAATTTTACCGATTGAAGGGCTGCGGCCTCCATCTGTTGACGGAGGTCATCGCACGATCCCGTAAGGGTTGCGACAGAGCCTCAACAATCACATCCCTGATATGTGATGCAGCTGTCTCTCCAGCTCTCACAGCTAGTTCAACATAGACCAGTGCCTTCATGGTGTCTCCTGACTATAAAAAGAGAAAAAAAGTTTATTAATATGTGTGATATCTGGTTGCTGTAGGGATTGTTTGGTTTCCAGAAATGAATACAGTGCAGAAGTAATATAATGTAATTGAAATTTAATATATTTGAAATGGAAGAATTCACATTTCTGTGTTTGTTTTGAAGGAAAATTAAATTAAAGTAAATCATGCTCAGTGATAGTAGTGGCAATGGTGACGGTGACAAAAGGCTGTCGTTTGCAATGTATTTGGAAATTGCTCAAATCTAATGAATTCAAAATACACAAATTTTGAACGGTAGGGTGAATTCCAAATTCAACAAAACTTTACACAGCATTTCATTTTCACCCAATCAAATGCCAGAATTTTGAGAACTCCTGCTTTTGATTTACTTCACAGTTTAAACCACTAGTGTAATGAACCAAACAGTCTGATAGAGTCTATGAAAGATGTGGAAAGGTACAAGGTGGAAGCAACTTGAAGGTTCTTGATCCTGCTGACTTGAGCTGCAGGAGTAAAGTGCAAAAAACCTATGTCCACAATACTAAATATTCTAATGAGCATAGAATTAATAAGCAAAAAACCATCAATAATGAATAAATTTTCTAACCAGTAATCCTAATGGTCAGTGCCGATAAATTATGAATAAATTTTCTAACCAGCAAAATTTACCAATATTCACTAAAGGCCTTCCAAATAATAAGTGAAACTCATCACTGAATACTTAAAGAACTCTCCATTTCCGACGGCTGAAAGAGCTAAAGGTAGATGAATGAAAGTAGCAGAGAAGACAGGCAATTGCACTCATTTAGTTTAACAGCAGAAAGAAAATGGAAGAATAATTTAAATATGGAATAAAAAGTACTGTAAATTAATAACAATTTCCTGAGGTTCTAAAATGAAAAGAATGTCTTTGCCAATTGGTGTATCCTCAAAATCACAGTAGCAAAAACAACATGGTAATAGTTTATGTCTAACGTATACTTTCACGTAGTAGTTAAGAAACTAGAGCCTATGGTTAAAAAAAAAGAAACAAAAATAAAGAAATTTCCATATGAGTGCAAGAAAAATTACTGTAGAGAAAAGAAAACTTACAGAAAAGAGTTCAAGGCCATGCTCAAATTGTGCTTTTCTATGACCACAATCTGCAGCACGCTTCAGCCATATCCTAGAAAATCGGAGATCCCGTGCGAATCCTTTGCCAGTAGCATAACATAGAGAGGCATTGTACATAGCACGTATATTGCCACCTTCAGCAGCTCTTAGATACCACCTCGCCTAAACAAATAGACCTACTTCAGTAAAACCATCCAAAAAAGCAACACTTAAGATTTTGTCATCATAAAATTTAAATGTCCAGCGGAAACGTTTCCAACAATCCAAGACACATGTAAAAACATAAAATAATAACATAATCCACCTTGTAAAAATATGCTACGAAATGTAATAATTGTAAAATTGAATATCTATATTAATTTGGTATGTGATGGGTAGTTAACCATAAGATTCAGGAGTTGCAATTAGTTGTAGGAATAATTGTCGTGAGACAGTTGAATGTGAGAAGTGATTACAGGTACAAGGGAGTGAGGCGAGCTTATAACAAAAAACCTTGCATGCAAATTCTCTTTAAAACATAGAAAAAATTTAAAATTCGAGGAGCTTAGATTCTTGCAAGACTATCCCCACTGATAAACAATCTAATGGCTATAAATATTTTTTCCTCATCATCCATTCATGTTTATCGCCTTGGAACTCCTGGAGATGAAGGAGATGGCCATGGCAATAGGAAAGTAGTTAACTTTGTTCTTCAAGTTACCCGGTTGATTTAGGAAAGGGCCTTGTGAATGATGGGCCTAATGCAAAGGGGAATAGGGAAGAAGAAAATATGAGATGGAGAGGAGAGATAACTTAAAATAAGGAAGCCATTTGACCTCTACTGGGGAAGGAGGAGCATGTGCCAGTCGAACACTAGAGCGGAAGAGGGGATAGAACTTAGGATGAGAGGTACATAAGGGGAAGAAAGCACTCTTCCAATAAATGTCATCCTCTTCTATTTATACAGAGGAGAGCTCCTCCTTACAAGTATTGAAATGCAAACTAAATAAAATGAAAGCACCATAAAGCATAAAAAGAATCATGATCATCTTGTAATCCCATTATCATCTGGTCTAAATTTAAAGCAATAATGATGGCTAGTCATTATTTTTGTTTTCTATGAAATGCTATTTCAACGTATTATTTACCATTACTATTCTCAGCCATTAAAACCAATGGAATGCCCAATGCATAGAGAGTGAATTTACTGCTGAATTGGTTTTCAGCAATCTATTCATCATTATTTGTGATCTGAGCAAGGTTTGCAGAACAATCATAGGACATATGATGAAGAGACCACCATGCTTTGATTTAATGATCAAGATTCTTTTTATGTTTATATTGGTTTTCATTAAAATCCTGGCAATGAGGAGCACTTTCCAATAAATAGAAGAAGATGAAATGTAACAAAAAACATTGATGAAAGAAATGAAGGATTCAGCCCCTTCCCTTTTGCTATCTCTTCCCTCCCGCCTATCTCCTCTCCTTCTCTCAAACCATGGCCAGCTCCCCCTCTAACTTCTTCTTCCCAATCCATCCCTTATTCCTCAGCTCCTTGCTTATTTAATTACCCTTCTTCCTCCTCTACTCTAAAGTTGATAGTCTCTTTTCACCCACATATTAACTCCTCAGATGAGGAAGAGCATCAATCAATCACTCTATTACATCTGAACATTCAACAAATAAAAGCATCTAAATTCCTGCAACTAGAAAGGAGTTAATTATCATTAATGAGAAGTAGTCAATAGAGTTTCCAAATTAAAAATTTTGTGAAGATTGCCGAGGAATGTTACAATATTTATACTATTAGTCATTGCATGCTAATATATATATAAAAGACAACGGTATTAGCCACACAAATAACATGTCAAACGAAATTTAAGTTGAAATATTTGTAGTGTAAAAATGACTGCAAAAATATAGAAAAAGCAAACAAATTTTTGACAGTATAACATACAGCTTCCTGTAAATTACGTTTAACTCCACGACCCTTGTGTAGGCAAAGGGCCAAGCTGTATTGAGCACGGGCATTTCCTAACTCAGCTGCCCGAAAGAACCATTTTACAGCCTCCTCCGGTTCAGCTGGATCAGCTGCAACAAATTGTAGTAGATACAATGGAGTATGTCAATCTTTTGCTATAGGTGAACACATTCAGCAAGATACTGCTCAAAGAAATACAGATCAAGTATGATTAGATATTAGATAATGAAAGGAAGTAAAACATATTTCCATGTAATACTACCCAAAAGCAAGGAAAATGCAGCATCTACTAAATCAAAAATACAAATGAATGGCAAATGAAGAAAGATAAACAATGGTTTACACTGGAATATAGAAATTACATAGATACATATAAGTTAAACCACAGACAAACTTCACAAGTTGGGCATATTGTTATATAATTGAACAAAGCAAGTTGACCCGAGCCATTGCTTAAAATTGAGCAACAAGAGGCGCGACTCAACGCAATTTAAAAAAATGCCATGAGACGTGCACCTCAGGAAACCAGAGGTATGCATATGTTCAAATTTGTAGAGGTGTTAGTCTAAAAAACTAGAGTTTATAAGAATTTAGTTATTTATCAACATGTAAACCTATAACACCAAAACCAAGTAAAGAAGAATAGTGCACACACTCCGACTCCTAGCCACGCGCTTGAGTCAAACCCAATGCCACTCACACTCCTTGCCACATGTCACTGCTGCTACATAACCGTTTTTGAGGAGAAAAAATAATTTACTATAATGATGGCTCTAATGAAGGCCCACTAAAAATTAAGTTTTTATTTTAAATATATTGTTAGTGATGACAATGAGGAAGACTTCTGAATTCATAAATTATATCTTAGTGACTTATACTAATTTATGTTTAATCTAGAGATAAAAGATTTACTACTATGATCTTACTTTGATATCTTACTAGTATGTCACTTATCATTTCATATTTATCTTAATTTAATAATTTAGGCCTAAGGTTTATGCCTTAAAACCACTAGAGGCTTAAGCCTCCCCTTTTAATCACGAAATGCACCAATGCCCAATTTCACAATTTAAGACTTGCCACAAAACACTTAAAATAATAAAATTACAAATAGCAAGGTTTCATCCCTTGAAGAACTTTGAATCATGGTAGTAACATCAACTGATTTTTTATTTGAAGCAGTTGCGCCTCAAACTTTAATCAAGCAAAGTTCCCTAAAAAAGTGATAGCGATTTGGCATCTAACCAATTCTGTTAGCATTGAATAGCGAAAACAAAAACCCAATTGCAAGAAAATAATGAATTCAACAACTTTAAACCAAATCAAGCAACAAGAAGTTATAATCTCTGCATTTAGCTGTGGTTATTTTGCAGGTAAGCAACCAATCAAACCACACCTCAAGCTTACTTTCCACTTCAAATATAGCCACAACGATGACCTCACAAAATACATACCTTCCAAGAAGCAGATTCCAAGATTGCACTGTCCCGCAGGATGCCCTAGCTCGGCAGCCCTAGCATACAAGCTCTTGCCTTCCTCCTTCCGACCCATCTCCCAATACATTAGCCCCGCATCAACCATCGCAGCAGCTGATCCCCTCTCAGCCCCTTTCAGGAAAGACTCCAGCGCCCGTTTAGCATCGGATCGTACCCCGCGACCATGCTTAAACCGTTTTCCCCATCTCAGAAGCACCATCGCCTCCCTTAGAGGCCTAAGAGCCTCTCTCCACGACCTACACACCGTGCTAGCCGCCCAAAGCTCAGGGATATCGAACGCCGCCGCAATTCGGGCCATTACATCGAAGGGCAAGTCAGCGAATTTGCCACTATATTGAGGAGGAGGAGGGATTTTAAAAGGAAGGTTCGCACTTTCTCTTCTGCCTCGCTGATGGGGAACAGAGAAGGCGGGAAGAGAGGGATTAGGGTTTTCGGGATTCTTCTTAAAAATCTGTTGCTTTTTATAATTTTTAAGGAGTCATGAAGGTTTGTTATTCTGTTTTGTGGAAACTTGAAGATTTCAAAAGGTTGAGTTGATTCCTTTTTTTCAGAATTCCCTGCAGTTTTTAAGGTTTTGCATTCTTCACTTTTAAAATCTTTTTATTAAAAAATATTGACTTGTTCAATCCATGGCTGTGTCTGTGTGTTTATATATATATATATATATATAATATAATTATATAAATAGCACAATAAACATTATTATTTACAAATCAAGCACCTACATTTCTAACATCTAAAACTTTCATATTAACATACAAGAGGTGTTTGGTAGACGTCGCTCCGTCAATTCAAAATCTCTTGAATTTTGCGTGTTCCGTCTATTTTACAATGTAAGTTCAGATATATTAAATCCATCTATGAGACAAATTTATAGGATGTCGCCCGGGAGGTCAGATAAATCCAATTTTACTTGAATTTGATAAATTCTATATAAGATAAATCTAAGTCACAACCAAACACCATCTTAAGATTTTAATATCATGCCAAAAATATTATTTTCACTTATTTTCTGAAATTTACATGTGGGATGTATAAATATATTAAAATTATGCGGTATTTGTGTAAATTTCACAATAAATTTATGGGAAGATGGGAGCTCATAAATGATGGATTATTTAAGATAAACTTACGCAATTGAGTTATTAAATATGATTTATATCTAATACAAGCAAGTGGAGTAATGAAAAAGTCAACATACAAACCGAAAGAGACCTACTACTACATATAATGAAGAAATTTTGTTTGAGAAGCTTTGTGTTTTTCGAGAAATTATTCCATATGGTGAATGCGGTATCTGATCTCCACCGTTGACGCCGCGATCAAAATAATAAAAAAAGTTAAAAGTGGGGCTCACGAAATACGTTTTTGCGGTGATCGACGGTAGAGATCGGACACCGCATGCATCTCTGCATGCGGTGTCCGAATGGAATAATTTTTCGTGTTTTTCTAATATTTAAATTATGCATAAGGAGAGAAAAAAAAAACAAAGGCTAATTTCATTGAGATAATAATAAATAAATGAATATAAAATTTATGAAAAAAAATAAAAAATTTTTGTTTCTTGCTTTTTATGCTAAAATTCAACGGCCATCGACGTAGTGCTACATAATTTATCATTAATATGCAGCTGGTGTATATTATTTATTAGTTAATTTGATGATATTAATTCAGTTGTGGAGAGGGAAAATAAATAGTGAATAGAAGGATGAGAGCAATTCATGGGTTTGGAAGAGAACGAGACGGGGGATTTTGGATGGATCTATTTTCAAATTGGTCCAAGTGATTGCAACCGAAATTCAAAATGTGAAGAACCGAGCTAATCAAAATTTCACTAAAGCCAATTTGATCGAACATAAGTTTACTTTTATTCAAGAGATTCGGCTACGAAAAAACCAAAATTTAGTTGTTACTTGGGGTTCGATTATGAACAAGCACAAAAAAATACATATATATTGTATGTATAATATCGATTTAATTTCATGACCCTCTAATTAATTTCAAGTTTTTCAATTTTTTTTGTTTGCTTGATTAAATGAAAATTTAAGATTGAATTGAAAAAAAAAAAAGGAAAAAAAAAACATAATAGTGAGTTTTTAAAAACAAAAAACCGAATGTATTTTTGAAACTGAACCGAATCGACCAAATTTATTGTAATATCAACAATCCATTCATACCACAAAATGGATCAATGGGAGATGTCAAAAGCACAAATGGGCTCTTGCAACCAGGTGTAGATGAGTTGATGGCAGCTTTGCGTAAGTCCTCTCTCGACCCGCTTTCAAATCTTCAATCAGACGAGATTCAAATTTAATCCTTTTTAATATATATATATATATATATATTGTTTCCTCTAAAATACTTCAGAATATATTTGTTTATATCAAGTTCATGAACTATTATTATCATTAGAAAATTGAGTATTTTGTTTGAAAAATAAATGCATACCATCATCACTTAAACAAACACAAAATTTGATTCCAACATCCTCTTCAAATTATTATATTTATATAAAAAAAATTGAGTTTTAAGCAACAGCCCTAATATTAAATGGGCCTCATGGGTGTAATAGATCGAGTCCACTAGCTGTGCATTTTTTTGATCGGCGTGCATTTTGCATTAATATAAAGGTAAAAAATACAAAAGTTGTACAAAACTATGCCCAACGAGTATCAAAAGATATAGGATCTACCGAGTTCCAAAGCGTAAAATACTCTGAATCTCGCTCGAAGGAGTACAAAAAACTATCAATTAAATCTTGGTGAGCACAAAAATGAACAGCCTTTTTACAAAAACGTGAGAAAAATGAAAAATAAAATGTTTGTACTCCATAAAAAAAACAATGTTTGGTTTGCCTGGAGGGTGAAGATTCCGCTAATGTTGCTCCATGTTGCTATGGAGGAAGTCCATGATAGTTTTGTTGTCTCTTTCAATAATAATACCATGAACCTCACACATCTATGGTTCAAACCAACTTTTCAATGAAATAGTTGCCTCCAGCACCATCCAGGCGCTATCTGAATGTTCCCAATGACGCCTAGCCACTTTGATGTAATGACCCTATTCATCTCGGAATACAACTCTAATACCTGCCACACAAGAAGGGAATGAGGCACTATTAATATTCACCTTCAACCAACCGGAAGGGTGGCACCAATGCGAGTTAGAAGACAGCCTTGAGAGCTGAGGTGTCCATTGCTCCTGAATTGGATGACGGTAAGGAAATGAGAAAGCCCCAAGGGCAGCAATAACAGTGGGTGTACCGAAAGGCTTCCCATGTTTTTTAGCATTACAAGCTCGCCAACATTGGTGAATCAAGTTACAAAAAATAAGGGCATGAGCTAAACCTTCCCCATCAGAAGAAGAAAGAGCACGAAGAGTGTCCTCCCAATTACCAAAGAATGACATAATCCCGACCATCATGATCTCACAATTGGAGGTGATATGGGTTATATCTTCAGCTTGCATGCAACCCCAAGGGCATTCAGTCTGCTCTCCAATGTCATAATTGTGCAGCCAGACATTGGTGGGTACAGATCCTTATTGATTCACAACCAAAATAGATGTTCATGAGGGTGTAATGTAAGCCTCTTAAGCTACTTCAATTCACCAACATTACCCTAAAACTGAGCCATATAAGTAAAGAACGTAATAGTGCATCCCGATCTCGAGGCGAGTAATTCCATCGTATCCTCATTAGTGTTTGATTCACAACCAAAATAGATGTTCATGAGGGTGTAATGTAAGCCTCTTAAGCTACTTCAATTCACCAACATTACCCTCAAACTGAGCCATATAAGTAAAGAACGTAATAGTGTATCCCGATCTCGAGGCGAGTAATTCCATCATATCCTCATTAGTGTTTTTGTTGCATGGGATTGCCATGATTCTGTGTTTAAGATCCTCCCCAAAGGATTGAAGTAGCAAGTCTTCATTCCAATTGCCATATTGATGTAAGTCGGCTACCATAATGCCCTCAAGCTTGCACAATCAATGAAAACCACCTTGAGAGAGGACTGTCCATTATCCATGCATGATTCATAGCAGAAATAGAATTGTTATCCCCAATCTTTTTATCTGGTAATAAACCTGAGGTTCTCGGCTCCCTCCTTAAGGATTTTTCAGAAAATCAAGTCCCCATGCCTCCTCACAAATCCTTAAAGGTGGCCATACTTAACAATTCTACATATGTGGAGGGGGGAATTGGGCTAATTAATAAAGTTCCAAGCCAACTGGCCCGTAGAGGCCTATGCCAATTGCAAGAGTCTCTTGAAGACCGAGTCCTCCAAAGAATGAAGGTTGGCAGAACACATTCCATTTAACATAATGCAACCCTTTGTCGCACAAAAATTTCCCGCATTTTCTCTTGATCTCCAGCCCCACTATAGGGAACATCATTATGTGTTAAAATGAAACTAGAGATAGATAGGAGGGTGGTGAAAATAGTCAAAATTCTGCCAGCTAAAGAAAGGAGCTTATTTCCCTATTTGTTGATCTTGCTAGAAGACTTCTGTTGAAGCTTACAAAAATTCGAGTAACATAATTTGTGCATAGCGAGCGACACACCTAAGTATTCCACCTCGTGAACCTTGCAAAACTTCCGAAATTTTGCAATTTGATTATGCTTCCAACTCTTTGTATTTTGACCAAAGATGATAGAAGACTTAGATTGATTGATACACTGCCCAGTCCATGAGCCGGTTTTGCAATATGGTACTCAAATTCTTGGCAAAGGCCATAGAAGCATTGACAAACAATAAAATGTCATTGGCGTAAAATAAATGGGAAAAACTCCTACCTTTATCCACAACTATGATTCTCACATGTTTGTAATGGTGTTGAAAGGCTAGCGACAATGGTTTTAAGCAAATAATGAATAAATATGGCGATAAGTAGCATCCTTACCTAAAATCATACCGAGCTTCGATCCACTCCAATCTATGACCATTGATCAAAAGGCAAAACTTGGGCTATTCAATATAATTAACAACCTAATTGGAACTTTTGGGAAGAAAATTCATGGCATGGAGGACCATTTTGAAAGTAAGCCAGCTCATCTTGTCATAAGCTACTTCATATCAATTTGAAGAGCCATAAAACCAGTGGTGAAGGTGGAATATTTGAACAAATTGCACACCTGTTGTGCAAGAAGACAATGATATGAGATAGACCGCCCAGTCATGAAGGCAACTTGCTCAAGAGAGATGATATGGGGTACAACGCACTTAAGCCTTCCCACCAAGAAATTGGCAACAAGCTTATAGATTGATTGACTTAGACCGATGGTCCTGAAGTTGCTAGGGGAGTTAGTGGTGTTGCACTTTGAAAGCAGGATGATAAGGGTCTTTTTCCACCTTGCAGGCATAATACTTTGAAGAAAATTGTAGGCATCATCTCCCACAACAATCCAAAATTTTTTGAAGAAAGATGAGGTGCATTTAGTGGTCTAGCACTAATCATAACGATCGTACTCATTAGGCGTTCCTTTGGAAGTGACAACCTACAGATCTCCTTACTGTTCAAAGGGATTCTGTGAAAAACTTCAAAGAATGTTAGAATTCCAGTGAATTTCTCAAAAGAAGTCTACCCCACCTCGATCATCAAGTGAGTTATTCCAGCCAAACTCACTTACATTCCTGAGTTTATATTCCATACTAACGCGTAGTTCTTTGAGGCACAAAAAAGAGGATTCCCACATGTGAGCATACATGCTGATATTTATTAATATCAAGACAATCCACACCAGAAGTCTTATCGAAAGAGAGCCTGCTATGACTTCGTACTATATAACATATAACTTAATTTTATGATAATTTTTTCAGACCCCTGTTCGAGCACTTATGTTCTTGAGTTATAAATAAGAACGAAGGATCTAATAGAAGGATCTCTTACAACTCCCTCTCCATTTTGCACCCTAAAAAAAACTCATTAAACCACTTAGCTCCTTTTCACTCCTTTAATTTCTCTCCCGGATAGTTTGAGTCCACGAATTATGTGAGATCTCACTTCCTATAAGGATTCAACATTCTAAAATATGTGTTAAACGTGGAACTCATTATCAAAATTTAGCAATGAGATCTTCTATCGCAAGGAGAAATGAGAACAATGATGAATTTCACTACAAAATTTTTAATACAGTAGGAGTAACTCAGAGAACAAATGAATAAGACGATATATGAAGTAAGGCAAGAGATATCCTGATCCCGTTCCAAAAATTGTTTAAGATGTCATATAGGATCATCAAGTTTAGTGGAATGAAGGCAAGATCAATAGAGAGATCAACCACTAGAGAAGAGCCACCTTGAGTCAAGGGGAAGAAATTATTGGATTCGACATTAGATGAAGTGAAGGAAGATGACGATGACGTGACGTACATTTCCAAATAAAAGACATCTGAGTCCTCAGAAAATGAAGAAAGAGGAATACGAAGAAGAAGAAGAAGAAGATTACAAGAAAACACATTATCCTGAGAAACTATTGAAGCATAACCCCTCAAGAGGATCAAAATTCCATCTCTATACTCTTACAAAGAAAGAACCAAATCTACTAATTATGTAGCTATTTTTGAATAAGCGGCCCATCTACAATGATAAACAACACCCTTAAGTGTCATTCATAATGCTCAAGGAGTCAAGTTTACGCCTATTCAAAAACTTGTCAGTGGGAGTTATCTCCTCTTAATAAATTCAAATGAACATTTATAACCCAATTTGTTAGCATTCAAAAGCCACAGAAAAGAGCTTAAGCTTTACTAAAATGTGAAAAGCTACATTTGAAAGCCTACAAGTTTTTTTTTTTTATCAAATTCCAATGCAAGATGCTTGGCGTAAAAACTCTCGAGCCTTTCGTCTCTCATGTGTCACTCAAACAAGGCCTATGTGAGGGCCTATTTTGATATGTGATTGGCTTACAAAAGCCTAAAACTTTAGGTGAACTCCTGGAACTGGCCAACAATCACATCTCAATTGGAGTAGTACAAATAAAGGCTTATTATAAAAAGAGTTGAAAAGGAGGTAGAGGCCCCCCAACCCTCCACATTGGAAATCACCCCTCTATGGGCATCCATGGCCAAAATCATGGAGCCCATTCATAAGAAAGAATTCTTCAAGAGGCCTTCACCAATAAAGTCAGTGAGCTTCCATAAAAATCCCAACAAGTATTGCGTCTATCATTACAATGATGAGCATGATACTGAGAAATGTCTTCACTTCTGAAACCTAATTGAAGAATTAATCGGAGCAGTGAAGTTGAAAGAGTTTGTTATGCTAGAAGTTCAAAATCATAGGTAAGAAAATGTGCCGGTTGAGACCATTCCCGATGAGCCAGTTTTCACTACAATCATTAATATCATTGGCGTCGTACCGTCCATGTTGATTGAGGATAGTGTTGAAGTTGCTAAATGTTCAAGTTTGAAGCAAAGGAAAGTGAGAGATGTTCATTCTGCTAGCAAGGTTGGAACTGCAACTCTCAATCATCCGTTGAAAACTTTCACGGGAACTGACTTTTTCGTGGGCGGAAACCATTTTAATGTTGCCACAGTCGTTACTTAAGTCATCATCAATCACCAAATTAGGAGTATTTTGGTGGATATAAGGAGCTCCATCAACATCCTTTTTGAGAAAGTATTACAGAACATAAATATGACAAACATCTGACTCGCTCCCACTTTGAGATCTCTCTATGAATTTTTAGGGGACAGAAAAGAGAACTGCAAAGTTATCTTTCTACCAAGAAATTGGGGAGAAGTGGATAAAAAATATAGATCCACGACATTTTTCATAGTTGTAGATGCTCATACCACTTATAATGCCATCTTTGATAGAACAATCCTCAACCTGTTTAAGGTGGTAACTTCGACCAACATGTAGTTGTCAAATTTTGAGGAAGAGGAGAAATTGTCACAATGATGGGGGACCTTTTTCAATCTTGGAGATGCTACCTATGAGCTATGGGGAACATTCAATAGAATCACCTAGAAATTGATGCTCATAAAAGGACAGTTTGGAGACTCTAAAGCCACTAAACAAGTGTATGTCTTTGAGAGAAAACCTGAGTGAACATTTAAAATCAGCTCCAACCTGTGTCATGAACATAAAAAGCAATTAATCTCAAATTTAAGGGATCATCACATCTTATTTGTGTGGACTGTGTATAAGATGCATGTAGTTGATATCAATATTTCTTGTCACCGACTCACACATAACCTTAATGTTAGAACTATAAAACAAAAATACGAGTCGTAGCCACTACCTTAGCTAAACCAATATGACAAGAAGTTTACAAGCTCTTTGAAGCCAGCTTCATCTGCAAATTTCAATATCCAGGCTGGCTAACAAATATGATGATGGTTTGCAAATTAAAAAACAAATAGAGAATATGTGTGGACTTCATAGTTGAGCTAATAGTTCATTCTCAACTATTAGCTTACCATCAATATTCTAACAGGCTGGCTAACAATATTCTAAACCCTAAAGAGGTTTGCTTTCAAATATGATGATGGTAAGCTAACAGTCAAGAAAATATCAATCTTCATCACCTTCCTCATCATCATCTTCTTCCTCTTCTTCTTCATCATGAATAGGAGAATATGCACGGTACATAAAGTAAAAAAAACAAACAATATGTACCGTGCATCGTGTGAAAGCTCTATAGGGGTCCATTCGAATATTAGACTGTTAGCTTTATGACTTGTGCAGAAAAAATTCCACTTAGAAGTATCCGCATATTGTCTATGAGAAATGCTGAAATCGCTTCATCGCGCCTAACATTGATTCATCCTGGAATAATGTGTAGAGGGTTATCGATAACATCTCTCGTGAAGTTGTCCTTAAAGAGCTATGAAGTCCATAATTCTTGTGTAGTTCCTCTAACATATCATTGAATATCACTTTGTCATGCGGAACATATTGTTGAATCTTGTTGGGTGACTCGCAAGGAACTCCTAAACCCATTTCGCCTTAATATATGAG